GCAAAATTCTACCATGCGAGTTCCAGCATTATTTCTGTCACCAAGGCCAAATTTTCCAACTACCAGTGATTCTTCTTTGTTTCCAACTTTTGCATTCCATATATAATTTATTTATTAGTATCTTTATATGTCTGCTCTTGACTTCTCTTTGGGGGTAAGAAACATCAGATACAAATGTATAGTATTTAACATTCTATGTAGTACATATAAAGGAGCTCTGGTGGTGTAGTGGGTAAAGCATTTGGCTAACCAAAAGTTGGTGATTCAAACCCACCAGCTGCTCTGAGGAAAGAAGATGAGGCCATCTACTTTGTAAAGACTTACAGCCTTGGAAATCCAATGGGGGTCACTATGAGTCAGAACCAACTTGATGGCAGTAGGTTTGAGTATCATGATAAGAAGTATCAAAGAAAACCAACAGACCACCTTAGTTATCAGGTACAGCTATAAGAGAAATACTACAGGCAGATGGCTTTAAGAAACAAATTTATTTTCTCACAGTTTAGGAGGCTAGAAGTCTTAATTCAGAGCACAGGCTCTACTAGAAGGTTTTTTCTCTCTGTTGACTCTAGAGGAAGGCCTTCATCTCTTCACGTTTTGCTTCCTTAAAGATCTCTGGATATCCTGGCATCCATCTTACCCCATCTCTGCTCTACTTGCTTGTTTAATTTCTTTTATATCTCAAAAGAGATTGATTCAAGATATACCCTACACTGATCCTGCCTCACTAACATAACAAAGGCAACTCACTCTCAACTGGGATTATAACTACAAGCATAGAAGTTAAGATTTACAACACATATTTTTGGGGACATAATTCAATCCATAACACAGATGTGGTAAATTCATTTTGTTGTTAATTCAAATACGTCGTAAATTGGGGATTACCTATAAATACAATGGAATATAATTCAGCCATAAAGAGAAATGAAATTCTGATTCATGCTATAACATAGATGAACCTTGAAAATATTATGCTAAGTGAAATATCAGAAATAAAAGGATAAATATTGTATGATCCCCTTTATATGAAATGTTAAGATTAAGAAAACACTTAAGACAAATTAAACACTGCATAAACAGGTTGTGGTTAATAATTAGGAACATTTATTAAGCACCAAGAGTATACTGCAGTCATTGCTATATAAAAACATAATTGTTGATACAGTATCCCTGCCATGAAGCTTACAATCTAAAATGAAGTATTTCAAAGTATCCTTAACTTACAAATGGCTATTTTGGCAAATGGCTGAGGCAAGATAACGTATTATTTCAGATGCAGTGTTAAAACACTTTGACTGTGATCCAAATAATGTTTTAATTGTACCAGGATATGTTCCTGAATTATATTAGGCTTGCTAAGAAAATGAGCATTTAGAAATTAGGTTGAAAAATGAATTATTTCAAATTGTCTATAAACCAAAAAATACTTCCTTCTGCAGAGTGGGTGGTGGGTAGGATTTCAAATAAAGAGATGCTTACTGGCATGAGTTTTTCAGTAGCCAGGGCAAGCTTCACAAAAAATATTATGAAATAGATCAAGTCTGTCTTCTATTCCATTTATAACTTTCAATTTCTTCATTCTTTTCCACCTGTAAGGGCTCTAATGATGTCCCTATACAGGAAGAAAATATTCTATCTACATAAACTGCCCTAAAGTATTAGAGACTTAACAAGCTGAATTTCTAAGAAATATTAATTCACATTTCAAGAGAGGACTGAGCAAAGACAGCAGTGAGACCTCTGGCTACAGAAAATGCCTGGCTATATAAAATATATAAACAAAGCAGTTGAGATCAGTTCATGCATCATCAAAGTGAGTAAGAATGTAGAGAAAGGCTTGTTTTTCTGCTTTGCATTTCTGGTGTAGGGGGAGATTTAGCATTAAGAACCTACACTATCCTATTCTGTCTATATCTATAGTACAGTACTTAATAAATATTTTCAAGGTTTTCATTGCTGGTCATATATTAGCTGACAAAGGCACACAAGGGATTGTGATTCTTACTGTCAAATGCAAAGACTGTTTTACACTACTGAGCACATACAGTCTTAAAATACATAGTAGTTTCAATCATTTATGATAATTCTTTGAATTTTAAAAGGACACTAAAAAGTAATCTGTTTGAAAACAGAATTTCCTCAGTTAAGTGCATGCATGTATATATATATATATATATATATGTATTTTAAAATGCATGCACACAAATATTTTAATGGCAGAGTGGTAGCATCCTGAGATTTCTTATGGCAAAACAGTATTTTAGTAATTTCTGGAAAACCCAGCAACTTTCCTTTTAGAAGGCCATCTTGGGTAAGCTTCTTTTTAAATGATAACATAGCAGCAATAACATTTTCAAAATGTTCATAAAGCTTGCTTTATGTAACAAACTTATCCAGAAAGAATGATCCTGAAATTTCAGGATAATTTTTTTTTTTTAATAAAGTAGAAAAACTCCTACTTCTGACCTAAAAGTAACACTTTTAAGGTCCCTCTACCAAGTTGAAAGTGTCATTTCCATCTCTGTTTACCTTATTTATACTAAATAAAATGATCCTGAAACTTCAGGATTAATTTTAATAAAGTATAGTAATTCACTACTTTTAACATCCTTCTTCCAATTTAAAAGTGTCATTTACAGTTGTTATTTACCTAAATAAAATCCAATTAATTATGAGACTGGAAACAGAAAACATGAAACAATTACATATCAACATAATTCTTTCTAATAAGATGACAGAAGTTAATTTCAATGGGTTTCTATGAAAAAAACCGAGAAACAAAATTAAACACAATCAGCACTGTAATAAATGAATTTGGGTTTATAAATCTCAATCAATGCACTTATTTTTGGGAGCTCTGGTAGCGTAGTGCCTAAGGCACTTGAGTGCTAACCAGAAGGCTGGCAGTTCAAATCTACCAGCCACTCCTCAGAGGGAAGGTTGGGCAATCTACTTCCGTAGTGCTACTGCCTCGGAAACCCAAGGAGGGGTCGCTATGAGTCGGGTCCGACTCGACGGCACATAACAACAACAACAACAGCACTTACTTTTAGTTGGTATTGTACCAAACAGCTAGAATTCCTGATTAAAATATGTGTTTTTCTAAGGCAAGGCAAATTTGATTATGCATAAAGCACACATATTAGCGTGATTATAAAGACAATATGAACAATAAATACACATACACTTTTTTTTAAGAGATATATTCCAAGCTACATAAAATTTAATTTCATGTCCTATTGTAAGTCTACATCTTTGATATTAAACTTAGGAGCATATTTGCTGGAATACATTAAAAAATACTTTATTTGTCCAATATTGTAAAGTATACTGTATTTTCAAACACTGGGTAGAAAATTTCTGCACAAAATTTAAAAAGGCATACTATTAATTAACTATAACTACTGTTAAGTATTTATATGAAGGAAGTTTACAAAAAGAGCAAAACATAAAACTAAGCGTAATAATTACTGCATATAACAAAAAAGTAACAAAACCAAGTATTTCCGAATACATTTGTTTCTTGTTTTAGTAATCTTTATATCTTTTCTACAGCTATTAATTTGACAAACATGCTAAATTTGTAACAGATTTATTTTTATTGGTGTTATTTTTCTTTCTCATACTTTCTCCCAACAGCAATTGAAAGTAATTTTCTTCTGAATAACAATGTGAAAAAATTTTTATATTTTTATCTGTGTCATGTAAAAGTTGACTCCTTACTTGCATTTTACCAACTTGTATTTAATTTTTTTGGATCTTAATTGATATTTAACCATGTGATTTTTGTTGTTAAGTATAGTGTGCATGTCAATAAATTGATAAGGATTAACAAAAGTAAATCCTGATTTCAGCTATGTTTTAAATACATTACACAAACTTTTTTTTTCTTAATTAGAAAAAAAAGAGATGAAGAAAACCTGTAAGTCTCCTTCAGTCTCAACTGTTTTGAGAAAGAGCTTTAAATAAAGATGGATTAAGTCAAGTAATGTTGGTGATTTCTTATCTTTGCATAGAAGGAAAAAAGTAAAATAAAGGCAATTACTTCCTCCCCAAGGTCTCAGCTAGTTTCTTAAGTCTTTTCTTCAGCTCCAGTGGAAATTTCTCATAGCACTTCTTACAGACCGGCTTCATGTCAAACTCCACAAACTTATTCCTAAAGATAACAAACAAAATTAGTGGAAATGTGCAATTTAGACATACAAGTAACATGAAGTAATTTTACTGAACTAAATGAAGATACTATACGATTAATACCCATATTCATGTTACTAAAGGACTGTTATTCTAATCTTAACTCTTGTCATTGTGGAAAATAATAAATTCACAATATAATTTGAAAAAAGTTAGTTCTTCTAAATTATGCCATATAAAATGTATATTTTATTTAATGATAAGTATACAGGAAATCTAATGTAAGTAAATTTCAGGTGTATAATAAATCACATTTTAAGGTACCATGAGAACACCTTAAAGAATACACTTATTTAAAGCAAAGAATCATCTTTTTATAATGTGAACAATCCTCTCTTTACTGGAGGAAATGATCTTAATATTTTAAATCAGATAGCTTTGAGGTTTCACCTTTTCCTAGTATAAGATGATTTGCCTCCCACCCCTAACAAAATAATGTTCATCTCAAATCCTGATGAGTTATTTTGATTGCGTGACAGGGAAAGTTATGAGAAAGATTTTCATTGCTCTTAAAGAACACAAATGTAGCCAAAATCACCCACTGTTATTTTGCACATGGTAGCTGTAAAGAGAACCTACCTGTTCTTTCTAAAAGCTAGAGCAATATGCATTATCAATTTATTGGTACAACAGTCCTAGAGAAGGTAACTTTTCAGATGGCTTTCTGACCATCTGCAATAGATTTCCTACAATTTTGGAATCTAGGATCTTTAATTCTGAATTGAGAAACACACAACTTTGTAACTTGTTCATTATCTATGAAATTATACTTATTAAACATTTGTTGAACAAGTCTAGTGGTATAGTACATTATCAACTATGACAAAATGGTAAAGTAAGTTGATATAACTTAAAACTTTTCCCACCATCTATCTAGTAACAGATTAGAATTCTTCCCTTCAACCCATGGAAAAAAAAAAGGATATCTACACTGTATTGTGATTAGGAAAAAAAAAAAAAAGGAGGTTCCGAATGCTACAGATTAAGGAAAATATATGAAGCACAAGCTAATATACGTGTGGACCTTATTCATGCAATCTTTATAATTTTAATAATTATGCAAAAAGACTAACTCTACACATGACAAATACATGTATTTCAATCTCTGGCAGCTACAAATACATGCAAAACAAAGAGACAGAAACAGAACAAAAGCATTCCAAATGACTAACCAAGGAAGAAAGGAGTGAAAATGATGATAGAAGGGATAGAAAAGTTTACAAACAGACTGTTTTTTTCTTTTTCTGCTTGTCCTTATCCTTTGCTTCTCTCTCTCGTTTGGCAAGTCGCCTCTTAAATTCTTCTGGCATTTTCTCATAACAGTGTTTGCAGACTGGTTTTAGATCAATTTCAACAAACTTATCCCTTTGAGCCAGACAAAGAAATAGAGGAAAGAACAGGGAATAATTAAAGGAAATACCTTTATTTTCAGAAAGTCTGAACAGAAAGAAGAAATAAGGAATCAAATAATTCTATTGTTAAAAATTCTGTAAGTATTTTTAAAAATGTTACCCTAAAGTTCTCAGTCTTAGGAGTCATACTACACCAAACTGCAGTACTTACTTAAGTGTTAATTTAGTGTTGCAGGTGGAACAGGCAAAGCAGTTCACGCACCAGGCCTTATTAAGAGCAGAAACCACTAGAGAAAGAAGGAAGACATTTGGTCACATAGAAATACACTGGCATGGCAGAGAGGGGAAATTTAAAATTTCAACTCTAAAAGAGAGCTAAAGCTACTTCTGTAACACCTAGAAATTTTTAAGGTTTTCTAGAAAAAGAATCACATAACTAAAACGTTCAGTGCTATCAAGTAACTGATGTTTATTGATTTAATCTATTTTATTCATGATATTAAGGCTATTTTTTCAATTATTAAAAAGCATACAAACAATTTATGCCTCCCATGAGCATAAGCTTCTACTTAAGGCAGTTTATCACTACTTTTTTCAACCTTTACTTGTAGTTCAATTATTGTGTTGTAATTCTGCCTTTCCTTTGAATACCCTGTGAGAATTTAAATGGTTATACTATGTCTATTTCTTCTCACCAAAGAGTGTGTCTGCTCACTGCTGTGGATGAGGCCCATACCTCTAACACATTTGACTTTACTCACATTCACTTTTCCGGCACAGGCTTGTCTACCAGTGACTCTCCACTACATTTATGTTCCTACTGTTGTTTGCCTAACAGAGAAATATGAACTAGAAAGATAATTTTTAAAAGTCCAGACATTAACTTATTCCATTTAGTAGTCTTTCTTCCGAAGTGGACAATAATTATTTACCTTTCTTTGACATCTTCTTTCACCTGGCAACTGTGCTGCATGTAGGAGGGAGTTTATTTCCAAGGGGCACTAAATACTGCCTTCCTGAACTAGTTCTTTTGCAAACTGCATAGAGGCAGTGTTTCAGAAAGTATTTCCTGAGTTAGGTGATATCTGCTGAGAACTATAAAGCCTGCTGAAAACAGGAATGCTTAAAACGTTGCCAGGAAGTTTCTGGCAGAATTGTGTTAGCCACTATTTGCAAACACAGCTGCTTCCTCTCTGTTCCAGTCAATCAGCCCTGCCTAATTATCACAGGACAAGTGTGATAAGCACTAGAAATGCCTACAGATAACTGTCAAGTTTTAGCATCTGTAAGGCTAACATTACTCTTCCTAAATGGCACAGAAGATTAAACTGCTCCTAATAAGCAATGCCCTATTATAACTTCAAAGTTATATAATTCCAGGAACAAGACAGAAACAGGTCTCAGGATCTGCCAAGACACAGTCTACAGTAATAGTTCCCTCAACTCTTAGTGTAAGAACCCTGAGGCACTGGGTAACAGAAAAGACTCCAGAACAAGACAACCGTCTAGGACTTTGGTGGTGGTAATCCCAACTAGAATTCTTACTGCCACAGCCTAGTTCCTTTCATACCCCACATGGACCCATGGTAATTATTAGAAAGAAATGTGGTATCCTATGTGGAATCTGCATATTGAATCACAGTCTTAAACTGAACTTGAAATGCTCAATATGAGCTTGAAGTAGTATAAAATGGAGAACAAATCCAACTCTTAATATATTATAGTCTCATTGCTAGATTACTTGGGAAATATGGCAAAGAAAGAGAAAAAGTAACTGCTAAGATCACATTCCAAAAAATAGCAATCGTCAACTTTTTTCAATTTTCAAAATTTACTCAAATGTTTTTGTGCCAAAATGTCACATAGAATCCACAGACACTTACCATCACCTTCAATAACACGGTTACAATGGAAACAAACATCACCAAATAGCTGAAAAAAAAAAAGTATTAAGTTTTAGAACTCTGAAAACATAATGTCAACTCTTTCTCTCACTTAAAAACAAATAGCTGGCTATCTGAAACCAGAATTAACCATTAGTAATGGTAAATTAGTAAAGATCATTGGATAGTTTTTATTTCTTACAGTGAAAATAATTTATTTTTCAGCACTTAAAAAAATCTATCTATACAGTAGCACTATTTACAATAGCCAAAAGATGGAAACAACTTAGGTGTCCATCAGCTTAAGAATGGATAACCAAACTATGGTACATACACACAATGGAATACTATGCAACCCTAAAGAATAACACAGAATCTTCAAAATACCACATAATGTGGATGAACTTGGAGGACATTATGCTGAGTGAAATAAGTCAATCATA